GGGGGGGGGGGGGGGGGGGGGAAGAGATCTTCAATCATTTTACCACCGGTAATATTTATCATATTACCACATTCATCACTTATACTCCGTTTGATACGATAGAAAAGTGGAAGGATAAAAAGTTAAAAAGATAAATAAAACATCATGTTTGATAAGGAAGGAAAGTAGGAAGGATGGAAAAGTGGATGAATTAACTTTCCTTCCAACTCACCAAAATTAATCTCTCAAAAATCGGAAAGAAAGTTGATGAAAAGTTAATTATTTGTATTGAGATATATCTTATTTGTCTACATATCTTATGTATATATTAATTTCATATAAAAATGCAATGGTAAAAAATATATATATATTTTAAAAAAATAAAAAATTTAAATTAAAAAAAATATTTTTTCCATCTTAATTAATGTTGAAAATTTTCGACTTAACATGATGACACGATTTGAACTCGATACGAAAATAAAATGACCAACTTGTAACTCGACATAACACAATTAATTAAATGAGTTAAATTAGGTTTGACTAATATTCGACACAAACTCGTAATGACTCAACACGAATTTGACACGACACGACTCCACTCGATTGTCACCCCTAGTCTTAGCCAGCACAAAAAAAATATATATAATAATTATTTTTATTTTTCATCCATTCAATCAAATACAAAGGAAGGAAAGTGTATCCTTCCTATTTTTCATCATTCTTACCAAACGGAACATTAGTAAAAATGTAATGATTCATTATGTAGTAACACGAAGAACTTGGGCACCACCGACCCATATAACATTGATTGTATGCTAGGTTTCTATCATTGATAGCACAACGTGGCCAACCCCGATTGTTGTAGTTGATGTTCTTATACCCAAAAAAAGACCATCACTATTAAATCAATCATGCTTATTAAAGATGCCAACAGAACAAATCAAGAATCATTGAATATGTACAATTTTGAAGTTTGAACGAATGAAAAAGAGACCAACAAGAAGCTGAAATATGAATTAGAGCCCTCCCAAATCTTCTATCCTCCATACTGTTCCCACATTGTTGCGACGAATAGCAAGAGATGAGAAATTATGAGCAACAAAGACATAACAACTAGGAAAACCCCGAGCATCATCCATTTGCCTAGCAGTGTTCTTAGAAACCCCTCTTTACAAGCATGGCAGTCGTAGCATAATACTGTTTCTTCGTTTTGCCACAAATCGCAGTCACTGTCATATGGATTCAAGCTATAGTCCACTGATTCGCCTTTTATCCAAAATGTGGCGTTCACATACTCCATTTGAGGGTGGTTTGCAACACCCAGACTGAAAAAACAGTAGCAAACGAGAAAACATTTATATATGCATAAGTAATTAATGATGTACAGATTGTAAGCATTGCATGCAAACATGGTCGGACGATAGGAATTTTGTAGCCAAGAAACGGTCCCATCATCCTTGCAACTTTTAGGTTTTCGGTTCACGCAAAATTGAATTGTGGTGATGTGGCCGCATTGCAGGCCGCACGACCTTCATCGTGTTACTGTGTTTGGACTTACATTCACGGTGAAATCTGCTATATTTTACTTAAACTTCATCTCTATGAAATAATGATGAATTTAGCACATATGGACAGGCCATTGCACAGCCTTCGCATCATTGGGTCTAGAGAAAGTTAGAGACAAACAATCTCAACTCTACTTGGAGATAGATAATTTATGTTGCCTGAACATGTGACATGTATGTTAAAATTGAATAATCTAATTGATTCATCAACGTTTGTCCGTAATACACATTTATTTTATGATTGGTATTAGAAACTCTAAACAAAGTTTAATTGTGTATGCAAGAAAATAATCACATCCTGATATACATATATACACAACCAATCACATGGTTAAACATCGCAGTGGGAGGTCACTTGGTTAATTTCTTGGGAAAACCTAAACCATTGTTTCATAAGCATGGCAAATTAACGTAGTGTAAAATTATTTGATGACAAGAAAACCCAATCCATAATTAAGATGGACAAATCTTGTGTGCGCCCAAGCGCCCAAACACACGTACCATAGACACGTTCGAGGAAATCCCCATAAGGTTACCCTTATGCCTATGGTGGGGGTTGAAACCGCCTACCCCGAGGTTATTTCTCAAGGCAATCTATCTCTGCACTCATGCCTCTGGATTAGAGCTGTTAATAGGCGAATTCTACCAAAATTTATTCAAATCATACCCGATCCATTAAAAATCATGTGTAATTGGATTCGTATTCAAGTCATATTGTATTCAAATTATATCGTGTCAATTTCATAGCGTATATAAGTTGTGTTTTAACATATTTGGTTGGATTCGTGTCATGTTTAACCGGATTTATGTCAATCCATATATTTGACGGATTTAATGAGTCTACTCTTTTATCGTCCAAATCTACTAAAACTGGGTTCAAATAGGTTCATTCTTTGTCGATTTTGTATAGTACTCGTGGGTCTTGTGTAGAATGGTCAACCCTACTCTGGATTAAGAGAACTGAATTTTTCTTCTTCATCTTAAGCTTCTTGGGATTTACACCACAATTCACCCCACATGTGCCAAATTAAGTAGGTCCCTATTGCTGATTAAAGATTATCTCACTTAGCATCTCAAGTAAGTCAATCTAATAAATTATAAAACAGGAAATTAAACAATTATGTGCATGATGTTACCTCAATGGAGGACAATTTACTCCTCGTGAAATCGTAAGCCTTGACTGTATACGATCTGGAGATCAAATCTTCACATGTTCTTGTGTCATATATGCAAGATTTGATGTTGTTCCAATTGTTGTTGTTGTCAAGCACTTTCATTTTGAGCCACATAGGTGAACCCTGTATGGTCCCAGACTCCATCTTGTATGCTCCAACAAGGGCAAGACCTACGGTAAGCATCACTGTCAGTGGTAACATAACCAAGAGAAGTCCCGGGACTGGAAATCGAGATCTCAGGTAGACTACAACATTACTGACAACGAAGAGGAAGATCAGGCCAATGACAATGCCAACTTGTAGCTTTGGCAATCTCAGGAGGTCTTCACAATCGTATTGACGATTGTATAGTAGCCATACCACTGAGGAAAGAACTGGAAGAGAGAGAAGAAGAGAGAGAATGGTTAATGGAAGTATGATATGATTCATTGGAATTGCTTTAGCTCTCGCCATTGCAGGCTCAGGGTTTTCTTCTTTAGATATACACTGTTCTTCAGTAACTGTGACTGATACTGTTTCTATGGGACCTGGATTTTCAGCCATGTCTAAAGAAGATAGAAGAGAAGTAGAAGAACACTGTGAAGATTAGTTTTATTATCTCCATTCGGTTATAGATTATCTAGTAGTTTAAATTGTTGTATGTTTCTGTATTTTTTTTTCATTCTATATCCATTTTGTTTTACCTAGTCAATAGAGTTTTGCATGAGAAATTTCCCACATTGCCTATAACTTCTCTGACTGACTGAGAGACATTTTAGGATAGGCAGGTAGGGGAATAAATAGTCAAAGACTCAAGATTTACTTTATTTCGTTAGTAAAATCTCAGTTAAAACCAGTTTACGAGTTTGAGACTACTTTGATGTGTTCCGACCCGAGCGTTTAAGCCTTCACTAGGTACGTACGGACATGGCCGGCTAGAGCTTAAGGCTATCAAAGCGATCCCTTTGAGGCCACAATTAAATAAAGTCCCAATTTTTTTTACAAAATATAAAAAGACTCTAATTTTATTATGTAGTATAGATCATGTAAACGTTTTGAGCAAAAATTAGCCAAAAGTACCAAACTATTATTATTGTTTTTAAGTACCAGTATACCCTTGATATACCAAACTATCGTAGAGAGCATTAACGCCTAAATCGTTGCTTTTGATGCCAGATCTGTAGTAGACTACGTCATCTTCTTTTTCTTTTGCACATCTCTGTTCTGCGTCAATCACTCACATTATTACTGGTCATCGCGAACCGCTCATGTTCTGTCTCTGAATGCATCGCTACCTAGTCGGTGTTCCCTCTCTCTAATCGAATCCCTACGAAGTTTGTTCGATGGTGTTACGGTCGTCCCCGTTAGGGTGGCTGTTGCATTTTGCGGTGGGATTTTGATGGTGTAATCAAGGGTATGAAGAGAATTTGTGGATTATGGACTTGAGCTGCAAGGCTCGTGAGAGTTGTGACTAAGGTTCAATGGGGATCTGAGGAATAAACACATTGTAATTATAGTGGTTCACCAACTTAAGAGTTCAGTTAATCCACTTTTCAATGGAGTCTGCTTCTCCTTTAATCTTTATTCACGGTGAATATGACTTACAGAGTGTTCTTGACGATACTAGAGTTGCCTGCCCCTCAATGGAGACACTGTACAATATTTATAGTCCAATTCCTATCTCTATGGGATTTGTAGAGAGATTTTTGCCCTTCATTCATGGGTTCTCCCTTGATTTTAGGGAGATCTTTGGTTGGTTAAGTGTCATGTGTCTTGATTATAGCTCCCCATTGCTTGAGGATGCCTTTCATCAGCTAGCTTTCCTTTTCCCAGTTTCCTTGCTTGTTGGATCGTTGAACTTTGGTTATTGCCTGACCTCCTAATTCGAACTCATTACCTGAGCTCCTCTCCTGANGGAAGTATGATATGATTCATTGGAATTGCTTTAGCTCTCGCCATTGCAGGCTCAGGGTTTTCTTCTTTAGATATACACTGTTCTTCAGTAACTGTGACTGATACTGTTTCTATGGGACCTGGATTTTCAGCCATGTCTAAAGAAGATAGAAGAGAAGTAGAAGAACACTGTGAAGATTAGTTTTATTATCTCCATTCGGTTATAGATTATCTAGTAGTTTAAATTGTTGTATGTTTCTGTATTTTTTTTTCATTCTATATCCATTTTGTTTTACCTAGTCAATAGAGTTTTGCATGAGAAATTTCCCACATTGCCTATAACTTCTCTGACTGACTGAGAGACATTTTAGGATAGGCAGGTAGGGGAATAAATAGTCAAAGACTCAAGATTTACTTTATTTCGTTAGTAAAATCTCAGTTAAAACCAGTTTACGAGTTTGAGACTACTTTGATGTGTTCCGACCCGAGCGTTTAAGCCTTCACTAGGTACGTACGGACATGGCCGGCTAGAGCTTAAGGCTATCAAAGCGATCCCTTTGAGGCCACAATTAAATAAAGTCCCAATTTTTTTTACAAAATATAAAAAGACTCTAATTTTATTATGTAGTATAGATCATGTAAACGTTTTGAGCAAAAATTAGCCAAAAGTACCAAACTATTATTATTGTTTTTAAGTACCAGTATACCCTTGATATACCAAACTATCGTAGAGAGCATTAACGCCTAAATCGTTGCTTTTGATGCCAGATCTGTAGTAGACTACGTCATCTTCTTTTTCTTTTGCACATCTCTGTTCTGCGTCAATCACTCACATTATTACTGGTCATCGCGAACCGCTCATGTTCTGTCTCTGAATGCATCGCTACCTAGTCGGTGTTCCCTCTCTCTAATCGAATCCCTACGAAGTTTGTTCGATGGTGTTACGGTCGTCCCCGTTAGGGTGGCTGTTGCATTTTGCGGTGGGATTTTGATGGTGTAATCAAGGGTATGAAGAGAATTTGTGGATTATGGACTTGAGCTGCAAGGCTCGTGAGAGTTGTGACTAAGGTTCAATGGGGATCTGAGGAATAAACACATTGTAATTATAGTGGTTCACCAACTTAAGAGTTCAGTTAATCCACTTTTCAATGGAGTCTGCTTCTCCTTTAATCTTTATTCACGGTGAATATGACTTACAGAGTGTTCTTGACGATACTAGAGTTGCCTGCCCCTCAATGGAGACACTGTACAATATTTATAGTCCAATTCCTATCTCTATGGGATTTGTAGAGAGATTTTTGCCCTTCATTCATGGGTTCTCCCTTGATTTTAGGGAGATCTTTGGTTGGTTAAGTGTCATGTGTCTTGATTATAGCTCCCCATTGCTTGAGGATGCCTTTCATCAGCTAGCTTTCCTTTTCCCAGTTTCCTTGCTTGTTGGATCGTTGAACTTTGGTTATTGCCTGACCTCCTAATTCGAACTCATTACCTGAGCTCCTCTCCTGAGCTTATACCTAGAGTTTTTATTGGTATCATCAGTTGCCCCTCAGCCCGTGGTCTAAGTTGGCTTGGACTAGGGCTGTATTAGGGCTGGGCCGAAGTAGACCTCTATCCATCAATCTCGATAGTCGTGCAAATAGATTTTTGACGGTTACAAGAAATCATTTCCTTCCTTGTGTTCTCACGCACGTTCCCCATTTCAAAGTCCCACGTACCAGTAGCTTTAAATGCCTCTGAGTTGGTGGGAGTGTTGGCTCTGTGGATACTGAGGAAAATATTGAGGAGCCTCCCTTCTCACCCTCTCCATTGCCCAAGACCGCCAATAAAGGTAAGACCAAGGTGAGTGGCTTAGGGATCTCGGGTAGTGCTAAGGGTATAGGTTCTAGAGTTGTAGAACTTGTAGGCGCTAGTGAGGTCTCTCCTCCCTATATAAAAGTCATAGCTGCTCGCTTCGGCTTTCCTAGATGAACTCACTCGTTATAACATTGAGGTTCTCGATAAAACCTGCTTTTTTGTTGCTTCTCTTGAGAATGGGCTTAGGTTCGCTGTGCACCCCTTTATCAAGTCAGTTCTTCAACATTTCAATGTCTGTCCTGCTCAGATCTCTCCTAACTTTTGGGGGGTGCTGGTGGGCCTCCTAGTCTTTTTCAAGCAAAAGAACTTGGTACCCCTAGTATTCCACTGCTCATAAAATTCTTTAACGTAAAATTCAACCTAAACGACCTTCTATACATTGCCAAACGGGTGAATATCTCCGCCCTGATTACTGCCCTGCCCAACTCTTATAAGCACTGAAAAAATAGTTTTTCTTTGTGTCAGGAAAAGCGTGGGAATTTGACCCTAATGACGCCTTTGATTCACTTCCAATCCCACGCTCTTGGGCGAGTCTAGATAACCTTAGTAAGCTTAAGGTCTCATAACAAGGCCTTCCTATCTTCTTTTCGCCATAGCTACTGAGCTTATTTCTTTGGCTGTTCTAGGTGTTCGTCCTGAGCTAGGAGTAGAGGACACAAGGGTTCTACTCACCTTCAGAGACAGAAAATTTGAGAGGTACTCCAGTCTAATTAATCATTCCGATCTCACCAGAATGGGTTTCAGCCCTCCTGAGGTGAGGATTGAAACCCTCATCCCTTTTTCCGTTGCAGGAGTTGAAGGAATTATAGGTAGTTTTTCTGCCTTTGGCTCTTTCCTATTCTAACCTTCCTTTTCCTTTCTTTTTTTTCTAACCCATTTATCCTGTGCTTCTTAGGTTCTTCATCGATGGAGCCCACCATGAAGGATCGCAAAGCTAAGGTGGATTTGATAAGGAAAACTCAGAGTGGTAATAAGTACAAGGCTGAAGTCAGTTTTGGGAGTGACCCAACTTTCCCATCCAAAGTATCGAGGTTGGAAGCACCTCTTACCTCTCTCCAAGTGTCTCAAGTGGCATTTCTATCGCCTACGAGCTCCTAGAAAACTGAATAGTCCCCATCTTCCCTTGAGACTAAGTTGTTTGCCTCTGGAGGAACTCCTGAACAGAGTATAGTCCCCATCTCTCCCTCCTCAGCTGAGGTTGAGAAAGCTTTGGAGATGGTCACTCGTGTCTTACCTGGGTCTTGTCCTCCTTGCCCTCCTGAGAAGCCCTTTCAGTAGCTTACCAAGGGTTCCAAGGATGAGATAGGGAAGCTCCCCAAAGTTGAGACAAGTGGAGGCTCCCTTATCGACAATATAAAGCGTACTACAGAAGCCATTGCCTCTATTATCCCAGAGTCTAACATAAAAAAGGTTGCAACCATGCCCCTCGGGACCTCCATTTCCACTGCTTTGTTTGGCACTACTTGGGTGGGTTCTTAATTTCTTAGATTTTTCCTTCGCCTTTCCCCCTTTCCTCATGCTCACTTTAGCTCTTTGGTTGTGTTTGCTTCCAGATGGCCATTCATGTGAGTGGCTTATTGAAGAGAATTGACGTTTTGAAGGGCTCGACTAAGGCTTCCAGGGCTTTTGTGCTCAAGGCTGCCAAGCTGTCCTTTGAGAATAATGACTTTAAAGCCCAGGTTCAAGACTTACGGGCTCAGGTTGAGAGGCAGACTTCTGCTATGAAGACCCTAGAGGCTGAGAAGGAGAAACTCGAGATTAAGGGTAGGACAACCCACGAGGACCTCAGAAAGACAAAGGGAGACCTTCAGCAAATG